TACAAGATTTTAATATTTTAATATTTTATAAGCTAAAGAACATGTGGTAACATATCGCTGTAACTTTCTCTGACTAAATTATATAGTCGAAGTACCGCCATAGTTCACCTTATCTCTAAAATAATAGTTATTTTGTGCGTAAAACAATAGAATTTCATCAAAACTGATAAAAATAAAAATAATTCATACTCATACCTACTTGTTTGAAAAAGTGCCGACGACTACCATGTATAATCAATGTTATACGAAAATAACTAATAAGTACTTATGATTCTTACCATATTGTTCTTAAATATAATCGAATTACGTAACATCAATTTATACGCCTTATTCAACTAACTAAAAGAAGTCGTTCATTTTGAGGATAATTTTTTTTGTTTTTGTTAGTTTATATACTTATAGTTTAAGAAATGTATATATATAATATGAATCTGGTTTCAAACGTATTTGATGAATGCAATTCTTTCACTGCAGTCGATGTATATCCTTGAACAAAGATTCTAGTCTCGATATTCTCAGTATGGAGAATAATTCTCTGTGTACGTACTTAAAACATTGCCAGATCTGTTAATCACGACCACATATGTAAATGTCATATTCGCGCGCGTTGTCACAATAAAATCCCTACCCGACTCTCTGATATAAAAACCCACCGACATTTAACAACGGAATTGCTCCGGCGAAAGTAATGTTCGTAAGATTTTTGGCGATGGTAGTCCGTGAAATTAAACGAACCTTCATATTATATATTGAAATGGTTAGTTATTTTTCCCCAGTTATTAAAAATAGATTGACTATAAAGTAAAATATAGTGCAAGATCGTACAACCTATCCAATCTATAAACAGGTATACAATTCGATTGAAAGTCAACCAGTTGAACTCAGTACATTTGTATACACATAGTGATTTGATCGAATAATTAAAATAGTTAAGTCAGGTAAGTTATATTTAGCAACGACGTCTAAATGAATCACCAGCTTATGAATGGTTGCAGTCTCTCTCTTCCACTTCCCACATTTCCATTTTACCGTCGTGATTTTATTTCCTGATTGGTATGCCAAATACACGATACTGCCATTTTCCTCATAATCCGAATTAATTAAATAAACCGGGTATAGATTGCGACCATTTAAGAGTTTTATTGACTATAAAATGAATAATACAAAACATGACAAATTAATTCCATGGTTTAAACAAATTATTAATTAACGTTTACAGTAATATTAATGTTAATTTTTACTTTGAAATGTTATTAACAATATGATATATTTTTATTTATTTTGTGAATTTAATTCTATGTTAGAAATGAAAAATTTCAGTAACTGAAATTGATCCATGGTAGATAATGTTACTTCAAAATTCGTGATAACCTATAATTGATCTTATAGACTATAGAGTATCGACGCTCTCTTTTGATAGATAGAAGCCACAGGTGATTTTGGCTTAACACTCTTTTAAAATTTGATAACTATTAATGTTTTTGAAAATATTTTTTTTTCTTAATTTGAAGAAACGTTAATAGTTTTTGAAATAATGAGATTCAGACCTGATGTATACGTATATATTATATTATACAATAATATGTAGTTAATATTAACTATTACACTATATTGTAATTATGTTGTCAATAAACTAATAAAATATTGAACCAAAATTCGCTTGTGAAAGCTCAGTTCAAAACAGATTTTTTTTATTATTTTAACAAGCATGATTGATATATATTATACATTTAAAGAGAGTGAAATTTTACGTGGGTATATTTTGAAATAAACTAGCCGTGAAATTTAATTAAATCATGTGAAAATCAAATTGATTGGTGTGTATATTTATGTATTTATAATGAATAAATCAAATGAATATCAAATTACCTAGTATTTATTTATACATGCAGATTTTAGATAGACCAATTTAATTTACCATATTTATGTCCCACATTATACAATGTTTATATTTTTAATAATAAACTTAAAAAATAATTTATGGTTAAAACCCATTATTTTTTTTTATTAAAGTAACCTACATAGTTTAAGTTTGCCATTTGCACTACTACTACTACTACTACTATATTCAACTATTATCAAGAATAATAGCTATTAATACAATGAAAATTGTTGAATATACTACTAAAATAAAATATTTTAATGTCTGAAACCTGTATTTCACATTTTTAATTATTATGTGAATATTTGGAACATTATTATGACTAATGTTGATAATAGTATGATATTATTTATAATATACAAAAGTAAATGAATATCCCCTAGAGTTTCATCTTACATTAAACAACTGTGCTTAGCATCAGAATACTATTTATTATTTGTGTTATCATTTTTTCATAGTTTTATTTGGTGGTTAAAATAAAACGTTCTGTAACCAAGACGCTGAATAGTAAATCACAGATTGTCTTTGTCGATTTACCATTCACTAAGACTGCACATTTAAGATTATTAAGTAATTATACTATTTATACTGTACCTATCCATTAATTTTTCTTTATTATTATCTAAGGTTAGTTTTTCATTTTTGATACTGTAAATTAAACAAAAGTCTTAACTAAACAGATAAATGTTACATTAATCTTGACAGTATTATATAGGTACGTAATTATATTCACGTCAACATTATTTTTTAACACTTTCTATTTCAGTAAGAAATATTTGTAGGCGTTTTTACTGTGTAATAATAAATTAATACATAGGTACATTATAGTATATTAACCTTTAACATCATACAAATCAAATATACATATTATATTCATACAAAAGCTATAGAAAAGCATAATTAATTGTATTCCTCTATTAACCTGTTGAAATGTTGAAATACATTTTTAATAAATTGTAATAACACTTCATTGGGCATTTTAATATCCGTTGATATTAAATATTACCTATCGTAATAAAAAACGAACGAATGTACAAGGTATTCAATACACATCAATTGTAATATCTTATGAGTTTATTTTAGTTTTTTTTACTTTGCAAAATTTTATATTATTAAATAAAAACAATCAGCCTACCTACTTATAATCCGATATTCTGATACTATATTTACTTGTTAAAATACAATTAAAATATTTTTTTTGATTTTAATAATTAGTTGATACATTATCTTAAAAATGACGTGATTGGAAATGTTAGAAATCATTGAAAATATCCTTCAAATGCCTTAAGAATAACGAATCAGTATCTCCGTATTAGTTATTTTTTATACATAATACACTAAAATTAAACTCGAACCAAACTACTTTCGCGCTTAAATATTCCTTTTCACTAGTGTTTTTTTTTTTTAAATACAGTTTAAAAGTTTTTATATAAACTTGTTTTGACTGCGATTTTGTGAGATAAATGTAAATCAATAAAGGTTACCCACTGTTCAACATAATAATATATTATTCTTTATCACATATAGGTAATAAGTGTTAAATTAAAACTATTATTCAAATTAGTATAGTATCATTTACAATCATCTCTCTACCAGGATTTTTTTCTCTTTTTCTTTTTAATAGTATTCATAATATAATGCAATCAAAATTAAATTGTCTTATTTTAGTATTATGATATGTTTATTTTATTATTGACTTACCACTGGTTATGAATATGAAAGTAAATTATTATGCCTCGTTGTCTCATTAAAAATAAATACATAATGGTAATCAGAAGAACCAAACTTAATATATCCTCCATCAACTTTACTTAAAGTTTAGATAATTTTTATTAATGACTATAGCCAATGAATTTAAATGCTCTAAAACCAGAAAAATTCATAATTTTAGGTGTCTAAAAATACGTTTAGAATATCTTATATCCCTGCTGTGACCGTCCGTTGACGGTCGTTAATAAAAACGTTGGTTACTTAGTTACGATTGTTTATATTAAAGTGATTTAACAGCGGATGTATTCAAAGTAAATTTATACAAGCCAAGATTAAAAAATATCAAAATATATGAGGATTTAATAAAGATTTATAAAAGCCAATATAAAAAAATAAGTAGCTACCAAAATATAAAGTTTACTAAATAGTTGTTTTTAAACTGTACCTACATGGAATTATTTCTAATTGCGGTGTTGCATTACATCTTGTGATTATAATATATGCGTCATAATATCTGTTTATCTAAATCTATTTAGTGTTTTCGTACAATAGGGTTATGTAGTACCTACAGTTATCAAATACCGTTAGGGTAAAACAGAGTATGAGGATTTGCCCAGGACGGACACAATTTGGCAGAATGATGATACTTAGCGTTGGGTAACGGATGAGAAGAAAATTAGGTGTGTGAAAAATTCCCATGCACGAGTTATTTGCTCGTGTTTTTCATATTTAACAGTAGTCTTATTGTTACAAGGCAATTATAACAACTCAAAAGAAGTTTAGAGTTCCAACATTACAGCGTTATGTAGGTACTTATAACGAAATCCGCTCTCAATATAGTCGGCTATTCATTTGTAGCGTGGGATCCCATCGAAACTATAATCACGTAATAATAACAAAGTATTAGAATAAAAATTATGTTTCTTTTTCTATTCATTATGAAGCGGAAAAGTGAAATCATTTTCATTTAACTATCCGGGGATGGGCAATTATACGACAACCGCTTTATTTACTAAAATAAAAATTACTCCGTCCGTTTAGTCTTGTGCCCGCGCCCTAATCATGAAGTCATGCCGGCTTTGTAATCGTGAAAAAGGAACGTTGTCTCGTGTATCCCATGCATGGGTGCTGCGTTTTTTAAAAGTGAGATTTCTGTTAAAATATCATAAGTTTCAATTGCATTTTGTTTTTTAAAAATATAATGTTATCCAATATCATATATCATACCTATAATGGTATTGCGAGGCATAAAACAATCAATAACAACAAATTTTATATTTTTTTATGTACGATTTTAACAATTAATTGTTTTACGTGACCGGTTTATGCTTACTATATTATCTGTGTTAATTATTATTGGAAAAGTGCTATTAAAAAGATTATTAATTATTCTGTGTTATTGTCGTAGGATCAACCAAGACCACCGGTGTACAACGTAGAAGACTATGCCGGATCCTTGCGAAAATTTGGAAAGCGAGGGCCTACGTCCGACGTTAACAACGGTGACTCGTCTGAACCGAAAGAAACCGAAATGACTCTAAAAGAATTCACATCAGCTACCGAGTTACTGGAAAAACTGAATTCTGATCTAAAACTTGCTTATTTCAGGTAATTTATTAATTTCATTCTGGGGAGTAAGAAAGTAATGTAATATGATGTTTATACATGTACTATGGAGTGTATATACTATATTAAAATATGTGAAATTGTAGAGTTTTAATAACTGAAAAATTATAAATAAAACATATATTTATCACGATCCAACGATTATTCTCCAAAATAAAATTTTACTTTTCTCAGTAATTCTAGACTAATTTTAGTTAATCAGGTTTTTCTTTCAATTTAAATACAAACATCATAAGACTCATTTTATAATATAAAGTAGATACAAGATTTTATTAAATATGATAAACATTGCGCAACTATTTGTAGTCCATTAAAAATAATAATGATAATAATGACAATAATAATAAAGACTAATTAACAAACAAATCACGTATGTTTTATCACATTTGTAATAATTATGACCCAAACAACCTTGTTGAATTCCCGAATTCAATTGTTCCTAAAATATATATATTATTTCAAGCTCGCTCCACGCCCAGGTTATAACTTATAAGTTGTCTATTGCGTCTGCTAGAAAATTACCTACCAAAAAAGGAATGAGTGTATTCATCATCAATACAAATGGTAAAATTAATATACAATCGCTACATCCTGTGCTCTTGTACTAGACATTAAAAAGTAATGTTCCAATCGTTATAAACCCGATACTAGAGTTAGTAATCATCTCAAATTTGATTGATAAATTAGATTTCAAATAATTTTAATTTACCCACGTTTCTAATTTAATTTTTTTTTTATGAATTGTGAGTTGTATTTATCAAAAAAAGTATATGTAATAATTTTTTGAATATTTAATAAAACAAATACCTTGTGATTCAACTACAATATAAGTGGGCACATAATTTTAAAATTATAAATTATAATTAATTTATACATTGTGAGTAAATAATAAGTTTTTAGAGATGTAAAATTGTCTATCAATGTCTAATAAAGTTGTTGTGAGTTTAGGGAATATTATAATTTCCAAATTCAATAAAATTAAAATATGTATCATGTCTAATGAATCGGCTATGATTTATTAAGCCCGAGTTGTAGTTTGCAAATTAAACCGTTGTAAACACGAAAATATGATTTTGTTTGTAGGTCATTAGAATAAAGAGATGTTATCGGTTGTTAAAATCAATACGTTAAATTTAATTATAGTGGTGTGTACGTTATTCGCCATTCTTGTTTGACACTGACAGAAAAAATTATAACGTAATACAGAGTCCCAATGCCCTAGTGTATGAGTGCGCGTAAAAAAAAATAAAAAATAAATAACCCAACCGGCTTATCCGAGGAATAACGGTTATAACACTGCCAGTATTAATTAACCACTAAAACCGGTACCGGTCATTTATTTCAAGCGAGAACGAGATGAAAATGTAACGTAAAAGGTAATAATAAATTGTTTATCAGCCGGTTAGTATAACACATAATATTATATATATATATATATATATAATAGGTACCTAGTATATATACGTCGTACGTGTATGTATGAAAAAATAAATTGATAATTCGGAATACCTAGTCCAGCGCATAATTGGATGCCTGCGATATGTACAGAATTATGTGCTCTGACCTTGCAAGATGCAGTTATAAGTTAGAACTGCCAGTGTCCTTACTGTAGCAAATATAGATACCAATAACCATCACATAGTCCATATTGGGTCAACAGTCATAAACTATTAATTTTAAAAAAAACTAAACTATTTGGTGGGTACATATATAACTTTGTGTTTGATTTTTTTTTCTTTTTATGATCTGTAGCTTCGTACAAGAATTCGTCGGTGACCCAATAGACGGAGTCACACTGTTGCTGGAACTCCTGAAAACGATCCAACAAAACGGCACACAAACAAAGTGCACGCCAGCAAACCAGCGCCGTATCACATTAGACGAAAACGCATGCCTGCAATGTTTGAAGTATTGCATGCGCTGTCAAGATGCAGCTAGGAAATTGGCGATATCTCCTGCTGGATTGTACACCCTTGCCGCGTGCATCATGAGCACTGTCAATCAATCTCGACTACTGACTCTGGAGGTTTGTGGATCGAATCATTCATCATGTGTTTTAGTTTAATATTGTATAGTTAACTTAAAAATGCATTTATAAAATAATAAGCTTGAATTACGTATTGATATATTTTTATCCAATCATATCATCATAAATATACATTTAATGATATTCTGAAATAAAAATTACGATTCAAAAATGTACTTTGACTCATAGAAAAATATTGTATTAAAATAATTTGATTGCATTTGTGTGCTTATAGTTACTGACCAAGGCATGCTGTGAATCGGGTACAGTAGATGGACACAATACGGTTTCGGACGCAATGAGTACAATGCGACTTAGATTTGCTGAGCCTGTCAGGTTCAGATTTTTAGTGGGAATGATGTCCGGTAGCGGCAGTTCCGGTATGGAACTACTGTTGGCTGGTTTAAAGTTTATAAACGCCTTCACAGAAACTTGTCCGGATCTTCAGACAAAGTTTTATGTGCAAGCCGAACTCAAACAAGCTGGTTTTAAACCTGCAGCTATATTAAAGGTAAGAGACATATTTAAAAAAAAATTCATTTTCTTAAATGACACGGTAATGATTTCAGAATATTTCCAACAAATCTCCACTATTGAGCTCCGTATCAGATGAAATATACAGGTGGCAGAAAAATTTCATAAATGTTGAGTCATTGAAAAGACAGCACGACGAGGTCATCAGAGAGGCTAAGTCTCTTAGAGAGAAAGTAGTCATGCTAGAAAAAAAAATTCACGTGAGTATGACGTAAAATCGTATTTGATATAAATCGACTGATACATTAACTAATTGACAAATTGTTTTATTGTTGATATTTAGCTTCTCCAAGAAGAGAAACGTGTAATTTCTTCACGCAAAGATCCCTTGGACAGCTCACAAAAGAATAAAATTGAAGGAGGTGGCAATTCAGCTGAAGACGAAGGCATCAGTTCTTCCGAACAAGACGACTGCGAAGAGGAAGTGTCTTCAAAGAAAGTGAAGGTTCCCTACAAGATGTACAGCGTATCACAAGGTGACACGACCATCGAGGAAGTGCTCGAAGACTTCGACAAGGTTATAAATGATGCGTCTACTGAATCAGGTGATGGACGGAAGATGTCTTCAGTGAGTAGTGACAACTCCAAACGGTATTACGATTATTCCGACACAGACGACGTGGTCATCATTCCCACCAGAATCGTCCCCGAACCACCAAGGCGGTCCAGGAGCCTATTCATGAACAAAAACTTCGAAGTCAACCCGTTTTTCGAGGACGATGAAGAGAGCATCGACTCCGAGTGTGCTTACGAAGAGGATGATGAGGAGGTAAAGTCTAAAATAAAAAGAAGTGAAACGTTTCATTCGGTCCAGAAACAAATAAAACGATTCTCGGACCTGGCGCTGCACAATCACCGCGTGGAGGACGAGGAAAAAATCAAAGACGGCGGCAGACGAAAATCGATATACAACGTTTTCGGCAACGCGCCCGAGGCGGAAAACTCGATGTATGCCAACAATAGACCAGTAACGAGGTCGGTGAGCACCAGGAACATCAACGACTCACGGATACCGGTCATGAGATTCGACCACTGCAAGTCTGAAAGGTCCGTGTACTTACCAATGGGCTGCAGGGTCACTAAGGAACCCAAGGTTTTCATGACCCGAGGTCACAACAACGCAGGATTGTATTCTGGTTATAAGGAGACCACTGCCGTTGGAAAAGACTCAAGTCCTAAATGCAAGCTTAGCTCGGGTGGTAGTTCAAACGGCTTGAAAGCGCTACAGCACATTAACATGTCTGTTTCCACGGGGAAACTTACAGATTTCCCTTCGGGACTCTATTAGACTGAACATGTAGAATTCATCTACTTTATATCATAGTTTATTATTAATAGGATATTAGTGTTATTTTTAGGCATTGGCGTTCCAAATGTATATATTATATATTATTATATAGTTTATAGTTTTGTAAAAGAAAAATGCACCGAAATATTGAAACATGGTGTTGTTTCATTGCGACCATTACGCCTATAAAGTATAATATTATAGTGTTTACCAAACACTTAAACATAGTTTTAAAGTATATGGTAGGTACATTGGTATATTGGTTAAAGTACAATATTGATTACCGCTTGACTGAATAGCATCTCTGTAAGCATTTATGTATTTTGGCTTAGAATTATTTTTAATACACTTAATCTTAGACGGAACGCCAAGTATTTCTCTTTACAATTTTCTCCAAAGGTAAAATTTAGATTAGATACATATAATTTATAAGCATTATATTCTAATATTTGTATAAGCTAATTAGCTGTACTACCTAGGTAAAATGTATAATACATGTTTTAGATTATTTTAAAATATTAGATTATTTCATAGTATTTTTCATATGATTTTACAAACATATTATATTTTTTTAAATATATATTTAGTATTTACATAATCTTTAAGATTTTTACACATAGTTCAATAATAACAATCTCGTTAATTTAGACGTTAAGAGCCTACCTATTGAAAAGTAAGTGCAATATTTTGAATTAAAGCAGTAGTATAATGTTTATGTTGTACAAGCTATTTGTTTTAATTGCTCAATCATCCTTAATACAACGTAATATAATTGTTTAAATTAAATGTATTGTTATATTAAGTTTTACACTCACATAAATATTCATTTTTATATGTGAAATAAATTACAATAATCTGTGTATTTATATTCCAAATACTTCAATCTCATATTGTAATAATTAAAAATGTATAATATATTAATTTAAAATATTTTGTGGTGTTCTTGAATCTTTTCAGACAAAAATAAAACTTGTATTTTCAGATGCATTGATCTATCAAATGTATTAATTTTCATTATTTATTTTTGTTTTGGCGGTGTGTAGAATACTATAAGTATTTACCATCGACCTGATAAGAAATTGGATAATCATAATTTTATTGTTAAAGTGCTATTGTCTTTTATTGTCTTGGAGCATTACTAAATGTAAGTTTACATTATTAATATTCGTATACATTATGATATTAAATACCCAATGTTCATATTATAATATTATTATAACTAGAAATCCTAGTAAAATTAATACTAGGAAGAAAGTATATATATATTATTATATTATACATGTATTATATATGTATTATATATGCAAACATTTGATTCTTGTAATATGTATCAATGTATCATCTGTTATATGCATATTGCATTTTCCATTTACGCACGATTTATAATATTATGTTTCAATAACATAAAATATGGTTAAATTACTAAATGCACTTGATATTTATAAATATCAATCGAAAAATAAAGCCACAATAAAAAAAGGAGGAAGTGGATAACCAAATAGTGCTGAATGGTGGAATTCGAGGGTATCTCGTCATCGAGTAAGATGTAGTGCACTAGTATGATATTAGCTACTGTAACGGTGTTAAATTTGAATTTATTGATGAACCATTGCTTACGTAAAACGATTCTGAGCCAAAACGAACCTATATAATCATACAAATGTTTTGTGTTATTTATTTTTCTAATATTTATAGTAATGCGGTATAAACATAAATAAACTAAAATCGTTATTCTTTGTAGATATAGAATTTTATTCATAATTTAACTTCAGATGCTCGGTATGCATAAAAAACGTATATTTATAATAATATTTTTAAATAGTTTCAACAATAACTTATAAACCTTATGTTAAAATTTAAAGGTTTTTGACTTAATGAAATTTTTTTTATTAGCGCTCATACAAAAAATTTTTAAATAATCAAAAATTTAAAATGACTAAATAATATTAAAATCTCAAAAATCGACACAGTATTTTAAAAATTTTACCATTTCTAGAAAGTTTTAATATGTTCTTTGGTGAAAATATCAAGTATATTTGAGGACATTAGGTTATATGTCTTGAGTAGGTAACATCGAAAAAACAAAATCAATTTTAATGGAAAGCGATTTTTTTGTAAAAATTTCCCTTTTCCTTTAGCTTTATATTGTTTTTCACGATTATTTAGAATAATACAGGTAATTTTATTCTTTTACCTCTATAGTATTACATCAACTCTAATTTTCTATCAGAAGCCACCCTGAAAATTGATAGTTGAATAATTTTTTCCACTATTGACAACTCAGCTACGGAACAGAAATAATTCTTGGCAAATTAGTTGTAATAGAATCTTCAATATTTCATGTAGTTTGCCATTTAAAATTAAAATTGTCGTGGAAATAAAAAAATGTTACTATGTAAGACGTTTAATGTCCAGTTGCAGGCATTCGTACTGGATAAATTAGTAATAACCAACATAATATTATTTAATTTACATATTTATATTGTTTATTCTAATAATTAGATAATATGTTAGTTCGGTAAATTTACCGGAAAAATTTTCCAGGTATCAATATGCTTAAGTCAATTATACAGGAATTTTTATGACAGGTTAAATTGTTTTTATTGTCATTTAACTTGAATAACTTAATTACATTGTTTTTAAAAGCGTAATAACTATAATTTTAGTAGGCACTTACTTATGTACTATTTCGGTTGGTAGTCTTTAAACCATACATACAGACTCTTTGTAATTAGTCTTTTTACACATTTTTAAAAGGTAAGTATAATGCATTAAATATATTTGATCAATAAATTACCAGTTTTTCCACTTTTTGAATTTTTGAATGCCTATCTATAATTGAATACATGTATATTTTATTACATATTATACATTTATAATATTAACTGTATTTAATATATTTATTTATTTATTTATTTAATTGTATACGCCCACAGTTGGACTCAGAACAGTTTTTTTTACATATATAACAAAAACAAAACATAATAAAATAAGCTAATCAACTTAATATTAATCAATTTAGTTTTGACATATTATAGTATCAGTATTTATACTCAATACATAATAGTACTTGGAACCGTTAACACTTGAGATTTAAATATTGATTTCAACCTGGTTAAATTGTCATGGAAAAAATCGAAATTATTTATTAAGTTAAAAGAAATTAACATTCTATTGATCGGTGTGAATTCACTATGATCATTACGATAAGTGGGTACATACAACATACACATGATTATTTGCTTGAGGAACATTTAGAGGTATTTGGCTTAGTAGTTCTGGACAATTTATTTAAGAGTTTAGCAGTTTATATAGCCTAGACACTTCGCTAGCTAGTTACTCAAGCGAGACGTCAGTTCTATTTGACTTAAATGCTAGTACTCTCAAAAATCGATTTTGGACCCGTTCAATTTTACTAATTAGTCCGGCTTGGTAAGAATTCCAGATAACTGATCCATATTCTAGAATAGAACGTACTAAGGCACAGTATAGTAGTTTAAAGCAATTAGGGTTTTTAAATTCTAAGCAGTTTCGTTGTATAAAACCAAATACTCTGAGAGCTTTGTTACAGATCATGGTTATGTGATTATTAAATGATAAGTCGTTTGACAATAGAATGCTTAGATCTGTTATCTGAGTTACAATCATTAAATTAGAATTGTTCATTTTTAATGTATTTATAGATTAACTCCATTCCCATTCAGTTTTTAACAAAAGTGATTGAAGATGACAATATATAAGTGTAACATAAAAATTTAAAAATATTCACAACGTAGAAAATGTGGTCTTGGTACGAAAGATTATTAGTTGGTATTAGTCAAGGACACGATTCTTGTAAAATAGGCATTTTTTGAGAAGTTGGACCGACTCTATGGTAAGTGAAAGGGATCCCAAAGTATTCTTGGCTCCTAGTGTTACTTAGAACACGAAAAAAAATTCACTATAGCAGCGAGGTGCATCAATTTCGACGTCGATAAACCTTTGGATGAAATGTGTGCAAGACCTATAATGGAAACGTTTTGATAACGATTCTAAACCGAGTAACTTATTTACAGGATTGTAATCATGCGGCACATGGTCAATATTTAGGCAGTAACCAGCAAAGGTAAGAATGCGGTATTGGACTTTATCAAGTTGCTAAATCTCACTTATTAATTTATTTAAAATCATGGTTTATTTATTTCTTATCATTTATAATAAATGTTCTTACAAACTACTCAAATTATAAATTATAACTGTTAATTAATGTCGAGATAAAAAATTTCGGGGAAAGATATAATACATAAAATTACTAAAAAAAAAACATTTGAAAATGTATAAGTTTACCGAATTTTACATAAATTTTCCAAACATTTATAAACTGTAAATTCCACATTTCTGCTAAAAAGTCTAAAAAGTAAATAATACTTATAAGTACATATGAAAATAAAAGTGTGTACTTGGGTTGAAAAATAAAAAAAAGATTATGTTTAATCATTGAAAAAATTATAACAATATTAATAACTTGTATATATTTATTACGCGGCGCGTTGTGTATGCAATCTTGATACAATGTATCACAAAAACAAATTCGTCAATATTGTTGAATAAAAAATGCTACGATATTCTAATACATTTAATATTATATAATAAATGTGATGTATCTTTCTTCGTAACTACAGTAAATAAAATAAAATGTTAAAACGTAGAAGATATACAGTTGTGTGTCAAACATAGGAAAACTATACATTATTATACCTAGCATTACTATACGATATTGTTAAAAATTTAATAATTTCCAAAGTTTTTTCTCCTTAAATAGTTATTATTGTTTAAGTAAGAGTTATAACTTATAATATTTAATACATGATCAATAAAAAAAGACGTTGGTGGCTTGGCAAACACAGGTTTTGTGATTTGACATTTAAAAAATGATATTTATTTACAATTCAAAATTATTTGTCACTCAATAGACCATTTAAATATTACATCTTCATCAGTATTTGATGAATTTAAATATTATTTCATTTATATACTAGTATACATTTGTTATCATTAGTTCTAAAACTAAATGATGATAAATTACCTAATCAAAAAAATGTGTTAATTTATAAAATGAATAATAATTGGTTACAGCTTATCATTAAAATTAGTTAATTGTATTTGAGGAAAAATACATCCCTTATAAATTATGGAATTTATTCAAAAA